GGGGGGTCGTGGTGCAAAGCCATTCTGTTGATTTTCCCCTTGCTTTCAACACTCTACCAACAAATGGCTGCATGTGCGGTAGGAAGGGGGACAGCTGGCAGAACTGCCCTCCACTCAAGGGGCCTGTCAAGTGGAACATCTGGCCCTGGAGCGGATTATGCACTCACACAATATATCGCCCCCTCCATCTCAAACGTGCTGCCACTCGCAGTCCCTTTATGGCTATCATTCTCAATTTGAGTCGTTGACTTCAGCGATTCTTTCCCACGACAGCTTGGCAAGTCATCGGGGCAGCAGCGTGTAATATATATGCAAGATACAGCCATATGCGTCAAGAAGTTATGATTTTGCTGTTACAGGCGACGCATCCGTCATTAACTTCTGACAGATCGCACCAATACACAACGGGAAGTCACAGCTGGAGATGCGATGGCACCATAGGTGCAATCTTTTGCTCACGGACAAGACGGAACTGAACCTCATTTGCACTTATATGTGTCTGAGTTTGAATGAAAATTATTCAGAGGTAATGCATTTAATATCATAAGCAGAGGCATGAATTCTGTTGGTATTGCGTTTTTACGCCGAAAGCACTTAAAGGTTATTATGGGTTTTTTTTTTTTTTTTATGATTTGGAGGTGCTCTAGACTTGCGCTGTTATGTCAGACATGTAATGACTGTGAGGCTTTTAAAACAATTAAGAAACCTAAGTGTGCCGTTCCTTTCTGCATTTTGATGAGCTCGCTGATATTTGCCGTGATGTATTTCAGATTAAGACGTAAAAGGGAAATGCAGCGGAACACTTTCATAAAGAGGAAGTAGTGTCAACGGTTTACTCAAAAGCAGTGCCTGCCTGCAGAATGTTCTTTAATAAATTAGCTGCCAGCTTCATACAACCCAGCTAATGTGAATATTAACCTGATAAGCATTCAAATTAGGACAGAACCCCAACAACAGAAAAAAAGAAGAAGAAAGGACTTATTGAGACGCATACAATGTATTTCTCGAAGCCTCAGGATTTTATTTTAGGATTTCGAGCACCAATGGTTGCCTTGGTTAAAGTTTTCCATTAAGTAAAAGGGTGGACTCTCTTCAAATGGAGGGTGTTCTACCTGTAATGGATAGTCTTCCAGTGACCTAGAGTACACAGACTGAATTATCAATAACCAGCCAATTATTTTGCAGAGCAAAATGGAAAACATCCGGACCTTTCCCAACATTTACATACATTGCAATGTGATATGTGTATTTTTGTCTGTATGGCTGATGTGAATATGTTATTGAAACCTTTTAAGGTACCAAAAACACAACACATGTCTGGGAATACAGAATATGAAACAATGTTTTGCAATTCAGAAACTGCATGTCAAACAACACTGCAGGTCCCAACCCCAAAGTAATTAAATATTAAATACACTTTAAATGTCACATTTTGAAACCATAACTCAAATAAATACAACGCTCTACCTTCTCTGAGTTCAAAATCCATATAATTAGAATTAATGATCGATTGCAAAATTAAGACTGAGAGGAATACCCATGACACCTCACACTTAAATAATACAATTATTTGTATATTTGGTCAAGTTATGGGAAAGCACTAGGTCATGTCACGATTTATTAGTATTTATTATATTAGTATTAAATTAGTAGTAAATGTAATTACTAGGTGAAATGTACA